CAGGAAACATGTAGCAAGAAATACAATTGTCGATAAAACGGTTGCAAAGAGGCAAAAAACAAAAAACAAGAAATAAAAAGCACATTGTGGAATAGGCTTAAAAGGCTTAAGGAAAAAATATTTATTATAATGCGGTTGATTTATATTTGTTTTTTCAAAATTTTTTAAGAATTTTTCCCGATCGTTTATTTTAAAGAAAGTTTTTACGCAATACAATTTTACACAAAAAAATTCGATATCTTTGCAAAAAACCATACCAAATATTTTCAAAAAACATTTTAAGACTTAGAAAGCTTACTTTAAAATACTTTTATATTAAATTTTGTCCAATGATGTTTCATCAAACTGCAGCGTTTTAAAGACAAAAATATTACAAAAAAATATCGATTTTCAATTTTATATAACTTAGGACAAAAATATCACAGAAAAATTCAAACCCGTATCTAAAGAATTTAAGAACATTGACGATTTTTTTGCGTTTCGCGATAAATTAAATATCTCGGTGAAACAAGATCATAAAGAAATTCTCGACCACTCATTTTAAAGCACAAAAATAGATTATTTTGTCGAGAATTTCTTTATGATCTTTTTTCACCGAGATATTTAATTTATCGCGAAACGCAAAAAAATCGCCAATGTTTCCAAATTTTTAGCCGGGTATAGTTGTATATATTAATTATTAAATTACGCACCATCAATTTATTTTTCATTATCGAATTTATCATTCCTACTTAGATTTATTTGATTTACAAATGTTTGAGGACTTTGTAATCACGATTGGTAGGACATATCTTGATATTTCAAGACATGTGCATGTGCACTATCTATCATGTGATGTATGCTAAGGAATTACGATTTTCTCCCTCTCTTCTTCTCTCCCCCCCCTGTCTCTCTCCCTCTCTCTCTTGCTCACTCTCATCCTCGTATTATGTAAATCCGTTGCGGCGAGTGCGATCACGGACCTTTGGCCGAAGGATGCACTACAGCCAAGCGATGTCATGGCTTAGGACGATTCTGTATGAGCTACCACGAGGTCACTTCGGGGATGGCGTAAATCCCCGAATAGTGATTGGCAAGTTCCCGACGATCCCATGGGATATATCATCAGGAACAGACGGTCACGACTTCAGCCCGAGAAATCCTTCGTGACTACTTATTGTGAATACCGATTTCTCACGAGTTGTCTGCTCCTCCGTTCACCAGAATTCGAGAATTTTGTGTATTCCATGAAAGCTCTTATCGATTTAGAAATTCGGGATAGTTAGAAAAATTCATAGAAAAAATCATAGAAATTCATTATTTCAATAATTATTTTTATAAATTTAATTTGTTCTATCTCAGTGCTATTAACAGATATTGAAATATTCTCATTGATACATTCTGTAATATATGTATATAGGTAGAAACATCACAAACTGCATATGTAATATATCTTTACGTTTAATATGCAATATATTAATATATCGAATTAGAACGAGTATTGCGATGAAACATATTAAATAAAACATAGATTACTTTCCTATACCTCTCAAAAATTTAAAAAGATGGATTAATTCAATATTATATTGTTAGATATATTACTTTAAATCTTTTCAATTCTTAAATTCATAAAAATTTACTTTCAATTACTTTGGAAAGGACTAATGAGGTATAAAAATGATTTCTGACGTAAATTTTTATGTTGACTCTGACCACAGAATTTGTTCAGTGCGTCAAAATTTTGAAATATTTTAATTTAAAGGTGTCGGTTTTTAGAATTTTTAGATTAATGTGAGAATATTCGATTTAGCCCGAAATTTAGTCAATAGATTTGGATTCTTTATCAAACAATATAGAAGTGCGCATATGTTTTCTAAAAAGATTAAATATTTATAACTGCAAGAATTATATTAACAAGTTCTATTTTTTAGTAGGTAAGCACTAAATGCTTTATAGGATTTAATTTTTCTGATACTTTGTATCAAAGAGTTTTTTGGGTCGCTAATAATAAATTTAAAGTCAGAATTTTTAAATTTAAAATTTCGGATGCAATATGGCCAACAGAACGAAAATTATCGTCTTATTCGTCATATTGAATCTGCCATTTTAAATTTTAAATTTCTAGCTTTCACTAATTAGCGACCAAAAAATGATATAAAATGTAAAGAAAAATCGGCCCTATGAAGCATTCGATGCTTATCTAAAAAAAACATAGAATTTGTTAATATAATTTATTCTTACAGTTATAAATATTTAACTTTTTTGGAAAACACACATATGCATTTTTGTAGATTTTTTTCGTGAAAAATCCGAATCTATTGATCAAATCAACAGATATCCTCAAGTTTTAAAGTTATTGCAAACGTTAAAACTGGTTTGAAAACGTTAAAAATGGCTTTTTTGAACTTTTAGGTTAAGGAATTTCAAAATCCTGATCTGCTAGACAAATTTTATGATCAGATTCGGATTCAGTGTGTAATAAAATTACGTCGAAAACTACTCCTACATCTCAACAAACCAAATCTTACAGACCTGTGTTATCAAAGCAATTTGACTTGATATTTTCGAGTATATACTTTGTTTAGATTCTTATTTCAAACGTTTTGATAGACAACAGTAACGACAGAAAGAATATTTTTCCGTGCATGTGAGAATTTCGTGAGATCAGTTATTGTTCTGCGGATAAGATTGTGGGAAGAAATATTGCTCTGGAATGGTGTAATGCACCTGACAACCTGCTACCTTAGAAGAACATGTATGCACGTATAGTGTATTTTCCACATTAGAGTATTTCACCAGTTACAATCACTGAGAGTGCAACGAGAGATTATCAAATAAGATAATTGAATTAGTAGTGTCTGATAATTAAACAATTAATCCAATATTGACGGCGTATTCAATATTGAGAACATTCTCTTTAGATTATTTATTACAGTCAACAAAGTCAGCTATTATTAGTAGCTAATTTTCATTCGCAATATTTTGAATAACTCTTTCGCTTGTATAAATTATTCTTATTTATGAATTGGTTAATGTGTTTTCAATAGGATGTATGCCGGTGCAAAGCTCTAATCGATAAACCGACCATCGTTGCACAGAGCGATGCACATATCCGGATTTATGCCATGATTAATTTGTGTAATCATATAATTAATTAGCCACGGCCATTAAGTACAAAATTCTAAGAAGCGTGATAAGTTTAATAAAAACAATACGCGAGGTACATATAATATTGGATCGTGTCAATATTATGTGTTAAATTATAACTTCCATATAGTTTCCTCGTTGTATAACAATAGATCAATACAGGTTGCAAAAATCGTTTATACGAACTATGTTAATTTAATTAGTTCTGCAAATATGATAATTGCCACGCGTTGTTTGACGTGACAAGTTCATTAACACTTTTGAAATATTAGTATATAAATTTTCGCACATATCGTACTAAATTTATCTTTTAATCTGATTTATATAGTTTTTCTTATTGATCAAAATTTTTTTCCTATCGTTTTGAATGCAACAAGTTTAGTTCTTCCTTTAACGAATGAAATGAAGCGAATATAAATACTCATGAATAATACAAAAGGAAAAAAATTATCATGTGATATGAATGATTTAAAATGTATTTATAAAGTCCGAGAGAGAGAGAGAGAGAGAGAGAGAGAGAGAGAGAAAGAGAGAATTATTAATTAATAGAATAGTCATTTATTTTCAGACTTTGCATGACACACACACTCACACACACACACACACATACACACAATGAAAACTTCATGTATCTTTTTATCGTAGTCTTATTTATTCAAAATTAAGTAGACTACGATTTTATTAACAATTTATATTTTTAACGTTTAATCTACTAAAATGTTTTTATATAGTGTACAGTATCAACTTCATTAAGTCACTGTTAATCTTGTCAAAGAAATGTTGATTGCAAATTATAGTGAAACGATCGTATTATACAGAGCGTTGATAAATCGTACGATCGCGTAGAAAATTCGATTAGGTCAACGTCAAATCGAAAGGCAAACGACCGGGAATGATTTGTTGCACAAACGAACTGTTCATTCGACGTTCTATTAAAACTAGTGGAAACGCGCGGTCCGATAAACTTTAGAAGCAAGCAAAAATTCTCTGCCGGGGAGGTTTCGACCGATCAAATCGATAATCACCGGTACTGCATTGAAAGGCAAATTAATAGTCGACAGGGGATGAGATGTGCGCGAACGAGGGAAACGGGGCAACTATTAACCCCTTACTTTCCATACTGGCAGTAGGTCGACAGTTACTTCCGCTTGTTTTTCTCTGTAATTGGATAGAACGATAAAACATGATGCATGCATAGGTATATAGAAGTTGGCATAAATCAGCGTAACTGAAAGAGAATATCTTATATTTTCTTTTGTATATATATATATATATATATATATATATATGTGTATG